ACCACTAAATAATCCAAATGCGGCGCTGATGTGACTGGAGCGGCGCCGAGAATTAACACGTTGACTCATTGGCTCCGTACGTTTCGACCAACAAAGTGTTGTGCTGACTTTAAGCCCTACGCCTTGTCCAGTATACGAAGGAGCGTCTCCTCCCAATGTCGCCAATACTAGGTCACTCGAGGGCCTTCTGCGGTTCCCTCCGGAGAACAGTGGGAACAGCGAGGCTTTCTCGTAGTGGTCGCCCTGTGACGCCCTCCGTCAATGTCAAACGGTAACACTACCGACATTCAGCAAACATGAAGAGCCTGTTAGGCAGTTTTTAATATGTGATTTAGTTTGTTCATCTTTGTTGAAGCCGCCAGAGGGCTGGGGAACCAGCCAGATGGGCGGGGACAATAATAAATTTTATATAAATAATAAATTATTATTCACTGAGCAAATATAGACATAAATAATCCAAATAAATAACACAGTATATGAATGCAGGCAGGTAGAACTAGAACATTTTCAAAAGGGGTTAACAGACATTATAAACACGACTATATACAAGGGAAAGTAAAGTATTCAATGTCCTGAGTCGCTCTATCAGCCATATTCATTCATAGGGGCGAAAGATGGGTCCTCAGCCATACTTCTCCCTTTGCTTAAAAATAAAAGAAAGTCAGACCAAAATAGGTATGAAATCATTCTTCCAACAAGACAATATCCTACACTTTAGTGTACCAAGTAGTAAGATTGGCCCCGTCTGAATTTGTCCAAAACTGTGCAATGGTCATTCTAGCTGCCATATGTAGGTGTGCAATCAAAGTTATTTAAGGAGCAACTTTATTGTTCCATAGACCCCAGTCTCTGAGCAGCGAGAGACTCTAGGGGTTCCTGCACTTACCCAGAGTTTGGGTTTGTTAGAATGAACGTCAATGCAGACTCTGGCAACTTTAGGATACATGGTGTTAATTTCACATATATGGTTTTATTTTCACTCTGTCAGAAAAGCGACTAGCCAATACAGTGGTACCTCGGGTTAAGAACTTAATTCGTTCTGGAGGTCTGTTCTTAACCTGAAACTGTTCTTAACCTGAAGCACCACTTTAGCTAATGGGGCCTCCCGCTGCCGCTGCGCGATTTCTATTCTCATCCTGAAGCAAAGTTCTTAACCCGAGGTACTATTTCTGGGTTAGCGGTGTCTGTAACCTGAAGTGTCCGTAACCTGAGGTACCACTGTACATGAATTTTAATATAATAATAAATAACTACAACTAGGATCATAGTTTGAGACTCTCATTTGCACTGAGAAATATATCCTGAAAGTCAGAGCCCCATTAAGTGGGGTGAGTCCATTGCCTCAGGCGGCAGAAGCCCTGTGGTGGCGCCCCTGTGGATGCTTCACCATCCTCACTGCCTGTGAAGCAATGGCACTGACATTGGCACTGATTTGGGGTGAAATCATGGCAGTTTATGATGAGAGCTCATTGAAATCACACAAGATCTTGTGGAGTGTGAGAGGTCGCTCACCAAATTGGTGTGATGTTGCCCCAAATCAGTACCGCTGCTGGTGCTGCTCTTCCACCAATGGCAGAGGTGGCGGGGTGGGTAGTGCAGGTGTTAGCGGCGTAGGTTGAAATGGGATGTGCTATCCCTGGTCATAGTGGTTTAATTTGTCCGGAGGATGAATGGTGCCTTTGGCCAAGGACCGCTACCTCTGTGTCTGAAAAAGTTAAGAAAAACTTGACCAAGCTGTCATGGACTAAAATAGCACTGAACATTTTTGTCCAGTCAAAGGCGGCTATGGGGTTGCGGCACTCATCTTGCTTTCAGGCGTAGGGAGCCGGCGTTTGTCCACAGACAGCTTTCTGGGTCATGTGGCCAGCATGACTAAACCGCTTCTGGTGCAATGGAACACCGTGACGCAAACCAGAGTACGTGGAAATACCGTTTACCTTCCCGCTGCAGCGGGACCTACTTATCTACTTGCACTGGTGTGCTTTCAAACTACTAGGTTGGCAGGAACTGGGACAGAGCAACGGGACCTCGCGGGGATTCGAACTGCTGACCTTCAGATCAGCAAGGCCAAGAGGCTCAGTGGTTTAGACCACAGCGCCACCCGTGTCCCTTTTTTTTATTGGAAGGCTGTTGAGAGAGAGGGAGAAATTACTTTTATATTTTAAAAATTCTCAGTTTTGGACGCCTGTTTCGTTGCATACACTGTTCTCACTTCATAAGCAATGTTAGCTATTGTGCACGGTTTGTATTTTTGACTGTCACCATCCAGAAAAAATACTGAAGAATTCAGACTTTCTGATAATGTAGATCATGAATGTTTCAGATTATAACCTACTTCCATGGAAGTCAGTGCAGAAACCAGGTGGTGAAGACAGTCAGACATGCTCAGAATCTTCATTACACTGAGTGAAGTAATAAGAACTGCAACAATAACACCAGAGAAAACATTATTCACACTTTCTAATTGGATATATTATTAATATTGCAGGATTCATTAGCGTGGTCATTTCTTTAAAAGATAAAAAAGGGATGTTTGCTGTTAAATGGGAATACTTTTCTAAAGTATAAAATAGTACATGGTAGAGTAAAAATGGTTTTTTAAAAATCAAACAGGCAGCCAGGTAATTTATAAATCCAAGGCTTTATTAATCCATCTGGAATGATTACTGTTTTATTGTATGACAAAAAGTATGCAAAGCACTTGGATTTGTTAAAATGCTATGTTTTGAGCAATTTGTTTTGCAAAAGAAACATGCAAAAAGCATATGCTATTATTTTTGTCCAAAATCCAGTAAAAGATAGATTTTCAAATTACTACCATATGTGTGGAGAATTTGCTTTGAACAATAACTGTATTATGGGTACCAAAATAATTTGTTTCAATTGAGTTTCTTCAGTAATAAATAAATAAATAGAATCTTTTAGTTCTTACATTTATTTGGCTTCCTTTAAGATCTTTCAAAAATATTCTACCTCAACAATAAGTAATTGAAACTGTACTTTGTTTGAAATGTGTTACAGTAGTAATGTTCATAGCTATACGGACAATTACAGTAGCTGCAGGAAAATGGCTATAAAATTTATTTTAGATCCCTTTTATAATTGCAGCCCTGAAGCAACTTGCTCTGTTAATAGTACCGCTGACACTGTTCTGGGGCAAACCATTTGAGAACTGTAGCTTTGAATTTGGTTAAACTAAAACCGTCTGGGGGTCAGGTGTTCCATAAGATAAATTAATACTTCATAATTCAATTGCTACCTTGCTTTTATATCAATGCAGTTATGAATGCATGGAAAAAATTACGGGGAAGAAAAATCTTTAAAGTTTTCATGGAGTCCTGTATGCTTAATTTTAAAATATAAAACACCATAGCTTTTAGGACCTGGAGGAAATGTACTTAAAAAACCCCCACTACAGTCCTGCATGTAGTTTGACTGCTTAAATGTCAGCAAAGTTAATGTAATTTAAATTTTCTTAAGTGTGTATAGGATTGCAGCATATCCAACCAGAGCAAAGGAAAATCATTGTATTTTACAACCCTTTGCTTAAACAGCCTATATTTCTTGAAAGCAGAGCAACCATAAAGGAACTATTGGCAGAAAGAATAGATTACCAAAAATAGGAATGTTTGAAGATTGCCTTTTTGGTCCAAGTCTTCAAAAGACTCTCAATGGGCTATTAAACTTGTATGGAGCATTTATGGACTTATTACCAAATCATGAGCACACAAATGTTTAGTATGCGCTATGCCAGTGTTGAATCACATAAACTCAGCATAACAATTATGTTACCATAACGTTGCAGGTGAACATGCTAGTGCAAATGTTTAGGATATAGACAAATTTGACTAATACAAACTAGATTTGTGTGTATCATATGTGCAGACTAGGGATCTAAATAAGTTAGAACCAAATGAATCATGCTCTGTGTTAAATCCTGAGAAAAGCAGCTTGGGGAAAGGGCAATTTCCAGAGCTGTAGGGTAGCAGGTACTTATATTTCACCTATCAACCAGCTGTAACTTCCCCATACTCCTAACTCCTTTCCCCTTTCATAAGGTTCTAGACTTAAGTTTGTCTACACAGAAGGGTTTTGCTAACAACAAAAACGTTATAAGCATTTTACAAACTCATCTCATTGCTCATTTAAGTAGGCTTGTTTTTAAAACAGATTTGGGAGTGTGAATACTAAAATTCTGTGTTGTTAGAGGTATTTTAGCAGTTTCTTAATTACATGCCTTGTTAATAACAAACTTCTGGTGACATGATTCAGTTGGGAACCTTGTTGGGCTGTCGTAGTCAGAATCTATGTATAAAAAATAAAAAAATTGTCCAGAGACCACCTTAGAGACCAACTCAAGCATGCACACGAAAGCTTATACCAAGAACAAACTTAGCTGGTCTCTACGGTGCTACTGTGTGTTAAACCACAGAGCCTAGGGCTTGCCGATCAGAAGGTCGGCGGTTCAAATCCCCACGATGGGGTGAGCTCCTGTTGCTCAGTCCCTGCTCCTGCCAACCTAGCAGTTCGAAAGCATGTCAAAGTGCAAGTAGACAAATAGGTACCGCTCTGGCGGGAAGGTAAACGGCGTTTCCGTGCGCTGCTCTGGTTCACCAGAAGCTGCTTAGTCATGCTGGCCACATGACCTGGAAGCTGTACACCGGCTCCCTCGGCCAGTAAAGCGAGATGAGTGCCGCAACCCCAGAGTTGGCCACGACTGGACCTAATGGTCAGGGGTCCCTTTACCTTTACCTTTAAGGTGCTACTGGACAATTTGACATGAAACATGATGGTGGTACTTTGATAATTACAGTTATTACAGGTGATCTGATTTCACCAGCCACACAAACTCAGTGGAAATAGATTTGCCCCCCAAAATGTACTGATAGTTCCTGTGAAAAAAATATGTTTGGAAGCCTTTTTAATAGCAAAGGACATTTTATTGGCATTCTGTGCTGTTTCAGTATGATGCTGTTCAGCTTTCCCCCCTTTTTTTGCAGAGATTTGAAAGGTGTGATAGTCACACTGAGTGATAGCGGTGATCTACAATGCTCCTACCTTGGTACAGATCCATCTTTATTTCAAGCTCCAAAAGTTGAGGCTCGGGATATAAACTATGAAGAATATGATGCAGAAATGAATAAACTTCAAAAAATCATTAAAGAAGCCAGAAAAATCAAAGGTATGGTTTCCCCCCCTTTTTATTGAAATTATATCAGTTGTGGTTGGTTGGCTGTCCATTAAAACCTAACTATAGGATTTATCTTTAATTTGTATTTAATGAAGTAGCTATGCAAATAAACAAAATTTTCACTATGATTTTAATTCTCTTCCCACCAATATTAAAATATCTATGTAATAGTAGTAACAGGTTATGCCATTTCCCCTAAAAAAAGTTTGCTATAACAATTCTGGCAACAAATTTACAATGAAGGAATAACTCACCTGGAAAAAAGACCTCTGGTTCTTCCATGTTTGTTGTCACTTGACAACAGCAGAACACTGAGCCCTCATTGCTGTGGTTCTCTGGCTACCCTTTTGGTTTCCCCACAGCCCACTGGCCCAATGCACTGTGGGAGAATTATACACCATGTGGAAACCAAGATGGCAGCCATAGAGCATCTGCTGGCAAGCAGCAAAATGTTTAAAATAGAGGGATTGGCTGTGAAGCAGTCTGAAATTTCAGCATGTGAGAGGGAGAGGCTAAGCGTAGTTCTTGATGGCTACTGGGGCAACAGTACTTTTCTTCCCTTCCACCTTTCATTTATTTTCTTTTCTTTCTTTCCCTTTAATTTCCCATTTACTTTATGCCTCCTCTGTGTTGTCTTATATAATAATGTCTCGGGTATAAGGAGAGCGGAATAAGATAACTGCGAAGGAGAAGGTTGGCTTTTCAAGAGGGAGGAAATTTGAAAGGAATCCTGTAGTTAAATTTTGATGAAAATTTTGAAAATATTCTGAAATAAAATGTTGTAAGTAAAGTTTATATGAATATGGGTCTTTGTTGCATTAACAAAGTGTGAGGACACATATATGAGTAGAAGCTGAACTTCCTTTCAGATCAAGGTCAATAAAATAAATATGGAAAAGAACTTTGTTATAAAAAATAATAATCGTAACTTTGTTACTATTCAGTATCCCTCCCTTTGGGCAAGCATTCACCAGACCATAACTTGTGAATCTCCTCATACGGGGCTTTATCCTAAGTTGAAACTTCAGCTCTAAGTCTCAATAACATGGTTATGAAATCATTGGCTAAACTTCCTAGTTATCTGTTTTTTACAGACATTGTGCCTAAAATGGAAAAAAATGAAGATTTTGCACTTCTTGTGACGGTCTCACCTGATCTTGATTCAGTGTCTGTACGTAACCTTAAAACTTACAAATATTCTTACAGAGATTTGTTTTTATAGAAATTGTATACTCTCAAACCTGATATATAGTGCTTATAGCATTTTGTTAAACTAATGAACACTGAGCTTATATTTAGAAGAATGGCCAGGAGCCCAAAACCTACTCAGAGAGATTTTTAAGTAGATCCCCATGCCATATCAGTAACTGATATAAGCAGTGTTGTGTCCATAAAGGTCTATTATTATTATTATTATTATTATTATTATTATTATTATTATTATTTATTAAAATGTTCTCTTAGTTATAAAAGTGGCTTGCCCTACCTTTTTTAGTGTGTGTGTGCGTGTGCGCTGTTTTGAGTAATGTAAAACCAAGCCACCTGGTGCAAGAAACTAGTCCTGTTCTTGGTGTCCTACCCAATATTAGTCATGATGTTATATGCTTAAATACAGTGGCTTTTTTGAGTGAGGCTATTTCTGTTCTCTAAAGTCTTATTTACTTTTAACACTAAGACAAGCTTGCTGATGCACAGAACACCCCCCCCCAGCTGCTTCACTCCTTCCTCTTTCCTGTTGCTGCTGCACTATTGGGAGTTAAGTCATGGTTTGGCTTAGTGTTATGTGCAAACCCGGGTTTCCGGTTTGTCTTGCTCCAAAGAAACCATGACCTGTAACCAAGGTTTGTTCTTGGTTTAGAGTGGTCTTTATAATATAAAGGATCACTAACATTGAAGAAAAAAATCTGTAAATGGAGCATCTATATTGAACTTGCAGTCTTTAATACTGTGCCATCAAACATTTACCCAATAACTAATACTAATTGAACACATCCTTAATAATTAGACTTAATAGTAAATTATATAAGAATTTCATAACGGATCGTCAGAATGTTTTTATTGTACCTTATGCAAACATTGCCAATATCCATTGAATGTAGCCATAGCAAACCCCATAAGGATCATGTGTATTTGATCTGCTCCTGTAGCACATTTGGCCCACTCAAGCCAGTGCAACATGCATCAGGATTCTGCTTTGTTAAATTACAATAAGCAGTAAAGGTAAAGGGACCCCTGACCATTAGATCCAGTCGTGGCCGACTCTGGGGTTGCGGCACTCATCTCGCTTTACTGGCCGAGGGAGCCGGCGCTTGTCCGCAGACAGGCAGACAATAAGCAGTAGGCAAGTCTTAATTTGAAAACGTTTGTACAGAGAAAATAAATTTTGAAATGAAATGTTAACTTATTCTTTTAGAAAGCTTGCACTACTGTACAGCTACAGAAGGATGAATGAAATCCTGCTTTGGTTATGACTGTGCTTCATTGCTATTGTTGGCATGGTGCTCAGTTGATGAATGATGACAGCCTAAACCACAGTAAAAAGAAACTGGCTCCCTATACTAAACTATGTTCATGCACCACCCATCACATGTTTATTTGGTGCTAGTTGCTGCTTGCTCCAGAAGCTCAACTCAGCTTCCTTTTCCCACCAAGAGCTGTCAATCAAATGTTAATCCACCACTGTTTGCCTCCAGCTGTAAATGAACATTGGCTATACTCAGGCATCATGGCAAACCATGGTTTGAGCTAACTATATTTTAGAACACAAAGACAAGCCCTGGTTTATAGCCACTTGTCTGCTTTCCTTTTTTGCTCTTTTGGCATTTGGCTTCAAGTGATTGAAGCCTAACCATAGTCTGATATTGTATCTGAATTGAACCATTGACTGTGTTCTCTCTCATTCTAATTTGTATGCTAAAAGAAGTTCTTTGAAATTAGTGCACCAACTGGTATGCTGTCCTAAGCACTAACTGTAAATTGTTAACAAGTAATAATAATAATAATAATAATAATAATAATTAAAATAATAATAATAATAATAATAATTTATTATTTATACCCCGCCCATCTGGCTGGGTTTCCCCAGCCACTCTGGGCGGCTTCCAAAAGAATATTAAAATACTGTGATACATCAAACATGAAAAGCTTCCCTAAACAGGGCTGCCTTCAGATGTCTTCTAAAAGTCTGGTACTTGTTGTTCTCTTTGACATCTGGTGGGAGGGCGTTCCACAGGGATGAGAAGTCCCTCTGCCTGGTTCCCTGTAACTTGGCTTCTCGCAGTGAGGGAACCGCCAGAAGGCCCTCGGTGCTGGACCTCAGTGTCCGGGTAGAACGATGGAGGTGGAGACGCTCCTTCAGGTATACCTTTGGGGTAATTAAATTAAGAACTATTATGTGTGTAGATATTTTACTTAATATTTTAGCTGTTGGGCTCTTGGTTTTTGAAACATTTTCAGTAATTTATTTCAGTAATAGGAGAAACATTTTATTAAGCAGCAAATAAGAATTGTCTCTAAAATATGACATGCATAGTTACAATTTGAATGATTTTAAACTGCCTGTTAATGACATATATAGACTGAGTAAGATAAAGTATTATTTATGCTCTAGAGCAGTTCACACCATTGCACTAGGTATAAGATTGTGCCTCTTGGAAGATAAACTCCTGTAAAACAGAATAGAATGGAATATGTTGCTTTAACTGTATGTACAGAACATTCTTGCCCTTTGTTTCCTCTTTTTATAGACATTTTTAAGCAAAGATTTTGAAAAAATATTTGGGTGAGATCCAAGACATTAGCAAAAGACATTTGATATGCACAAACTTATCTGTCACATAGAGTAATAGTAATGTCACAAGCATATGACATCCATTGGATTTGGCTGTTTTACTATGCTGAGAACACAGCTCCACTGAGTTGAATGGCTGAGTGATTGGGCTGCCGTAGTTAGATATCACCCAACATTTTTGTGCATCTTAATTCTTTTATTATTGTTTTAAGAGCTCTACAGTAAGTTGAAATCTAGCCATACAATATGTGCATTCCTGTGTGATACTGATTTTGCTGTTTCTGTGTGTTTTTTCTTCTTCACAGCAAGCCATTGAGAGTGAAGTAAAAGCAGAGGTGGTTCCTTCTGTGACAGTAAAGGTAGTGTGCTTCTTGGGACTTTAAGACCAAGTATAACACTCAAAAGAATCAAACCATTTTTTTATATTTAGAGGGGTGGTTCTAGAAAATATACAGAAGTGACTGAGATTTTGGTGATTTTCATTGCTTGTGATATGCATTAAAGAAATAAAAATTAGATGTAGACAGTGCTTTTTTTTCTGGGGGCACGCAGGGGTACACATACCCCTGAACATTTTGTGAATCTTTGTACTTTTGTTCATTTCCTGTATTTATTTTTCCCTATTTGAACTATCAAATGGTGGTTTTCTTGAGTAAAAAATGAGAGTACCCCTAAATATTTTGTAGAAAAAAAGCACTGGATGTATACATCATGGGTCTGTGTGTTATGGGGAAAGCTCAGAGAAATGCCTTCTGGAACTATGGAGAGGATTATGTTTAACAATCATAAACATTATGGTCTTGGAAGTGAGCCTCTCTAGGAAGATGCTATCTCCTTGAACCAGGACTGACTCACAGGTTGTCATCATTTGGATGCTTGCTGACTTCCATACCCCATCAAAAGCTCAGTATGAACTCCCAGACCCACCTGGCTTCACTTTCTCCTCCTCCACTGTTGCATGTTCAGCTATCCTATTCAAGCATGCAAACAGTGACAGATGCAAGGAGAAGAAATAACATCTTCACTTTGCCTCGACCTCTCTCTTTTTGAGCAGTGGTGTGGATTTATCTTTAGAGAGAGTGAGAATATACGGTAATCTTCTGTCTTCAAATGTCAGCATAATGATTTTCAGAGAAATAATCTTTGTTGATAATTATTGTGTCAATGTAAAATACTGCAGCCAAATTATTTATATCTCATACACGCTTTCATCGGTTCCCAACTGAGGTTCATGAGACTTGGTCCCAAATGTATATTGGATGGCAATTGCTGACATTGTGGTCTGCTGGTCAAATAAAAAACTTGGTCTCCAGCTTATGAGTTTATAAATATAATCATAATGCTGCTAAAACACACACACACACACATATATAATGTTTTATCAATAATAATAATAATAATAATAATAATAATAATTTATTAATTCTACCCTGCCCAGTGGTCTGTTAAACATTAAAAGCTTCCCTAAAGAGGGCTGCCTTCAGATCTAAGTACTCTAATGATGGTGGAGGCAGAAGAATCCTGAACTAGGTTGAATACCGTATTGGCCTGAATATAAGCCGCACTTCCCCCCTCATTTCTGACCGTGAAAAGTTAAAGTGCAGCTTATATTTGCAACCATATGGTATGCAAGTAGGAGTGCAGGGCAAACAATGCTAGGAACATGGTGAAGTAGCGCCCACCCTGTGTGTAGTCCCCTGCCCTCTTCCCCAAGGCCGCGAAGGGAGAGAGCAAGGAAGGGGAAAGGCTGCCGGCAATGCAGTGCGGCTCTCCCCCCCCTCCCCAAGTATGCAGCCAGAAGCAGTGAGGAAGGAAGTCGCTTATATTCTGGTATTTTTTTCTTTTTCTCCCCCCCCCCCAATTTTAAAGGTGCGGCTTATATTTGGGTGTGGCTTATATTTGGGCCAATACGGTATATGCATATATGTTCTTATTTTATTTTTTATTAATACATCAGGGCAATAACAACACAAAAAAGGAAAGAAAAATAACAAAACAAAAACAATATACAGCAATAAAAAGAAATTAGAAATTAGATATTGACAATAAAAGTTACAACCAACGCAACCTTAACATTTACACCACTTAAAATACATATAACATAATATTTTGACTTCCTTCACCCTGATATTGGATTTTTAATTTATTTCTTTTCAACTGTATATGCATATATGTTCACTACAATGGAATTAAAGGATGTTTAGTGAATATTTTTGTTTCATAGATTTATGGCAGAGGGAGTGGGAATTTCCCAGTGGAGCATAATATTCCAATTGCGTTCTATTCATTAAAAACTCATTTTCTTGTACATAATTCTTTGGAAGATCTCCAGCTGATAAAAATTACAAAATAATAGCACTTCAAAAGTTGTTACTAATTTACTGTTCCTTTTTCAGTTGCAATGTGTTCTAATTCACTTGGTATTTCCAAAAATGCCTTTCTAATTTTTACTTCTAACAGATCACTGTGGAGGGCAAACAGCCGACACTTGCAAAATTATCAGTATGTGTTCAACCTCCTTTAGCTTTGACTCATGACAAATTCACCTTGAAATTAGGTAAATGTTCCAGTTTTGATCTATAGTTATTTCTGTTTTTTCTCCATTGCCTATCAAACTACTGGTACTATATTAGTATTCATTAACACGGTACTCTTTTTCTGAGACAGATATGTTTAACTTTGAGTCTATATTCTTTCTTTCTTCCCCCCCTTAAAAATAGTTCCAAGTAACAACCTGTAATGTAAATAGTGATAGGAAAGATGGAAGCTAATCCCATTATAATATATAATATATATATAATACATAATAATATATCAGTAATGGAAATTCTTAGAAATGTTTCTAAGAGGATACTAGGACAACTCCAAGGCCCACCTGCCACTGGCTAATATATATTTAAAATAATAGAACAAGTAAATGGTCTAGAATGAAGCCTGCCCCGTTCTGTATTCTGTGTTTTCTGTATTACTTGATTTGAGCATCAGGCATTCTTAAATACTTGACTAGCGTATTTTTCGCTCTATAGGACACACTTTTCCCCCTCCAAAAATTAAGGGGAAATGTGTGTGCGTCCTATGGAGTGAATGCAGGCTCCTTGGCTTCAGCGATAGCAACGCGAAGCCTCCGAAGCGCAGAGGGAGCGCTCCCTCCGTGCTCCGGAGGCTTCGGGTTCCTTTTGCTGAAGCTGGGAGAGCAAGACTCTCCTGGCTTTAGCAGAGAGGGAGAGCTGCGCAGCGCCCCTTCAGCGAAGCGGGAGGAGAAATGAAAGGGGCTCCGTTTCTCCTGCCACTTCGCTGAAGGGGCGCTGAGCAGAGAGGGGGAGAATTTTTTTCTCTTCTTCTCCCCCTCTAAAACAAGGTGCGTCCTATGATCGGGTGCATCCTATAGATCGAAAAATACGGTACATCTCACTTGTTGTTGTCCTAGTGCTTCCTCAGAAACACCCTTCTTGCGAGGACAGTGGTCACTTCTCTACACCAGAGAGTCAGGCTTTGGGCTTGAGAGAAAGAATGAATGAAACTTGATTTGCGTTAGCCGTCGGCCATAGCAACAAAAAAATTGTGATATACACAGAACAAAATAAAAAGCCGATTATATAAAACACAGTTTAGGGTCTTGAATCAGCAGTCAAATAGTCGACCTTATTTTAATTGCCCCAGCTAGAAACCTTGCAGCCTTTGCTTTGGGCTTGTATTTCCCAGTTCACAAGATTAATTTCTTTTGAAACTTGGTAAGACTTTCAAAAGCAGTTTATGATATGGCACTGGTTTTTAAACAGAGCAAAAAACTCATATTAGATATTCCTACACCCTTGAGTCACCTAAAGTATCTCTTTGGAATGAGGGTAATAGCGAGCAGCCCGAACACTAGTAGCAAAGAAATGGAAAGGGGGAAATGTTCAGACTATAATGGATTGGTAGAATAAATTACAAGAATATGTGGAAATGGCGCAATTGACCAACAGCCAAAGGGGCAGTTCAAGACAAGAATTTGCACAAAAATGGGATAAATATAAGAGATATGTACAAAAATATACCATATATATATATATGGCAGTATTTGATTGACCTTGGATAAAGAAATATATGAGAAATAAGAGCAATGGTACAAATTGATGTAAGTTGCTGTAAGAATATATTAGAGAATATATAAAGAATAGTTTAATAATGGTAGGTACATTCACTATTAGAATAAAATCATACGACGGGAATGGACAGGAAGTCCAAAGTCGTTATGATACTTTTTGTTAATAATCTAATAATTTTTGTTAATAATCGCATAAAAAGTAGCATAAATACAGCTGAAGCTTAAGGTTCATAATTATGTAAGAAAAGATAAGTATATGGTTTCCCCCCCATTTTTTGTGTACATAATTGAAATTTCAGTTTACTTTAAGAGATGTACTATATATATGTAACGTATTGTAAGACTATTAATAAAGCTTGTTACATGTTTAAAAGAAAAGAAAAGAAATATGTAGGTCAATTCTGTGTAGATTGCTAGCAGAAGTTTGCAGTCCAAATATTGTCCTTTTGCTTGGAAACTTCCTACTTTGTACAATGGTTTCATAGCTGCTCTGAGTACTTTTAGGAAATGCTGCCAGGGTAGAAGTGTTGCTCAGAAACACCCTTTGGTTAGTGAGCTAATTTTCAACTAATACAGGTACTTCATGATGTACCTCTGTGCATTCCAGCGATAACACCCAATTTGTTCATAGCTTCATGTATGTTTGATGTTAATTTCTTAGTGGCATCACAGGGTTTTGTCATAGGTATTTTGCCTGTAGTACCAGAACTGAAAGTGTTGTGCAAAAGTGTTTTTAAATTGAGTTTCATTACTTTACTTAAGCAGATTGTACTGCCTTTCATATGGTTTCACAAAGTAGTGTGCAAATAGGAAAAAGATTAAATGAGTCAGCTGTCAATAAAAATTACAACAATAAAAGTAATGACACAGCAGTGACCTGAGCAATTTTGCCAAAGAATTCTGCAAAACTGCAAGTCGTGTATTGATATCTGGCAAAAAGACTATGTTGTATAGTTCTAGATAATATACTTTGAGGGACATAATTATATATGATAAGCTTGGGATACTTGTAAATCCATAGATGTAATTGCATCAAATTGTCCAGGAGGCCAGAAAACTAATGTACTAGAATTAGATGGCTCAAGAGGCTGATTGCTAGGCTTCTATGCTGTTACTGTGGGAATTAAGGAATTGATCGTTGATTAAATTTTGTTTCCACACATTTAAGAATTTTAAATATGTATTGTTTATAGATGGATAGCACTGCATGTACTTTTTTTAGGGGGGAGGGTAACAAATAATAATCTATGATTCAATTAATATTTCCTTAGAAATGGTTTTGTAGAGTTACACAAAGTCTTCCCCCCAGTTGACCTTTTCGTCTTTATCTGTGTTTACAGAGTCATCTGTATCTAAAACAGTGGTACTCTCTGCCTTTCTAAAGGGGAATATCTCACCAGCAGATCTGGAAGGTACTGCTCTAGCTTCATATAACACAGCAACAGGTAAATATTATGAAAATTTGAACAAACGGGGAGGGGTGGCAGCGAGTGTTTAAGTTTTTAATTGTGATTGTTAAACTTGCATTTCAAAATACATTATTCTGTGTAACACCATTAATTTGTCTTAGTGTGTTTGTAGAAGCAACTGTTATTAGCTTCCACCTACAACTGAAGTATCAATTTTCTTCAAACATGAACTGGAAAAGACCACCTTTAAGGGTTAGAAGTTAATTACACCTTTAGCACTTTCGATGAAAATGGAGCAATCCAGAAATATGTTTTATCCATATTGTTGTTCACTCCTGCACAGAACCAGAGGGTTAAATGGTTGTGAAGTCTGGTTATTCCTTTACGCTGCAATGCATTTTGGCTGAGCAATAGCACTTAAGATGCTTTGGAAGCGAAGCATTCCTCAGAAAACAATGAAGCCACTGTATTAAAATTATCTGCTTATTTCACAATGTTTATTTCAGCTGTACTCTGGGAGATGGTGCTCTAACACATGTTGTTACCCATAAAAGGAAGTTTTGCTAATCACGTTCTGTGACCGATGTGAAAATTATCTGTTAATTTAAGGAAAATCACTCTGTTAAGTGCAGAGCTAAGGCACAAACTTGAAACACAAGCAAGTTACACCTTCTTTATAATGATATATTTTTGCCATTTTAAGCAAAGCTGCATGGTGATACGAGATAATAAATTATAGCTGTGGCTTTTACAACACTTGTCTAACAACCAAAATAGGTGCAATTCATAATTAAAACATCATGCAAGTGGACATCCACTCACACAGAGGAGCTTTTCCTGTCTTCTTTTCCTTCCCTCTGCAGTCCCCCGTGTACCTCAAAAATCTGTTCCAGGGAATTGGCAGACCCTTTGGAGCAGATCTAGGGGGCATGAGGGGAGGGCTGGAGAGGAGAAATGTTGCACAAGCAGACTGATGTTATTGGCATTAAGATTGCTTAATTAAGATTAAGATTGCTACAATTAACATTTTGAGAATCGGAAACTGAAAATAAGCTGTCTACTTTTGTGATAAACATTGCGTCTTAAAAACAACGTCAGATGATGACTATTTTGTGAAACTGATCATGGAGAGCAGTATTATTTTTGTTGCCACACATCTCAGAAATAAGACCAGGTTTGTAAAATGTCTATCTCTGACCTTTAGCCACCAGACAAAATAGAGATAGTAGAGCAGAGTTCGGCAAGCTAAGGCCTATGGGCTGGAATGGGCCCATGAGGGTGGCTTAACTGGCCCATGAGCCGCCCCCAAATCGAGCCGCCCATTTGGCGAGTCCCCATGCGCTGTGCTAAACCGGCATGGTGCGGTGCAGGGACTCTCTTCCGCAGCTCCAGAAACCATTTCTGCACATGCCCAGACGCCGAAAATCCGCAGCGCCAGAAAACACTTCTGTGCAAGCCTAGACGCTGAAAAACGCTTCTGCGCAGGCTCGATTTTGGGCATCTGGGCATGCGCATAAGTGATTTCCGGCTCCGCGGACCTGTGCAGACGCGATTGCCGGCGTTGCGCTGTGCTGGTCTGGCCCTTGGAGGATCTCCGTGGGAGTGATTGGGCCCATGCCCAGTAAGCCTTGCCAACCCCTGTAGTAGAGTATAGGCAGGCCCCCATTTACGTGCTTTCAATATGTGTGCATGGTACTGAACCCGGCAGTGACTGGAAACGTCATAAAGACATCACTGAAATGTCGCTAAAAGGGTGGAGTGGGGGCAGCGGGAGCGTAACAGGGTGTTTGCAGGCTTTTCCAGTGGGTTTCAATTATACGCAATTTCACTGGCTCACACAGTGCCTCGGAACGTAACCCCCACATACACGGGGGGCTGCCTGTAGCAAAAATGATTTGATCCCTATACTGCTTTAGGTACCATCCCTCATTTGCCAATCTCTAGTTAGACACCTAGAATACCTAATTGTTCACAAGCTATAGAGAGCAATCACACGGTGACCTTTCTGGGTCACAGGCATGCCATTGGTAGTACAGACAGAATCATTAATAAATTAAGATATCTCACCAACATGCCATAAAACATTTTTTCCACTTCAGGTAGCCCTTTAACTAACGCTGCTGGATATTTCAGTGGGACCTGCACTGTTGTGTTTGGTTCTTAACTTCTCTTCCTCCCGGCATGGGTTCTCCATAGTCCTCTTCCTTGCTCTTTGCTTTCCTTCATCATATTCTCAGCTTTCTGTTCAACATCTTATGTTACATGTTTCTTAGAGGTGGTGGAGGAGCAACATAGCCTACATTTTACTTAAGAAAGCTAGGCTTCTCTTTCATTCTCAGTTATTAGATTTTTGTTGAATTTCTGTTATTAGTTGTATTTTGTTCTTTTCTTTCTCTTTTGCTTTCGCTGATGTTATGGTAGATCTCAACCCAGAGGGTAAGTGAATGATAGGTTGAATCAAAATCAAAATTAGTGATAGTTGTTATTTTAAAGTAAAAACGTATATATGTGAGCTGCTGGTTGGCCCTTTAGAAGTGACTTCAAAAATACTTTGAGGATACTCTGTTCCACTACAGATGCCAATTAGCTTAGCAACACTAAGATGGCTCTGTCACCAAATACCATTGTTGTAACTTTAAAAAGGGGAAACTGCTTATTTCTTGTACATTCAAATTTCAATTGAATTTTCTGATTTCCCCCCCTCTTCATTTCATGACATTTGACCCCACTGTTTGTATATGCCTGTGAACTGCTACTGAAATAAGGTACTACTGGAATCCTTATTGTGTTTGCTGGCATGAGTAACCCAAATGTTAACTCTACTTTGGTGTTAATTTCTTTTAGGGATAGTGTAGCCATTTAATTATTCATAAGCAAATATAGTAAAATCCAGGTTAGCCTCTAATTGTTAAAAAGAAGTGTGATAACTTGTGGACTTTCATTGCTTTGGGTCAGTGCAAATGTAGCATTGGATCAAGGGATGCAATAGTGTCAAAATATATCACTTTGCTTTCAATTATATAATTGAATGGTTGCCACTCGCAGGAAAGAATGTGAGCCCACTGCCTTGGTGACCCATGTTCTAGGGAAAAAACAGATTTTATTCCTCTCTGAATGGTCTGGACCATTGCAGTCCATTTACTTTGTCCCATTGAGGTCAATGGGAGCCACTAAGCCTGCTCTTATTGGCTTAGTCTTTCATGCTACAACTTGATGGAACCCAGGAACTGTCTTGCTTGCTTGTATGTGTGTGTGTGCTTGTATTTTTACATAGTTCTGGTACAGTTATCCAACTAATGAAATTCCAATTAAAATGATTAATTGGTTATTGATCATTACATATTTTACATTTTATTGATATTTTACAATCTGCATGAATGATTTTGTTTGTTTTTATATCTGACTGCTGATGAAAGTTAACAAACGGAAATAAGAGTTATTTGAGAAAAATTACTGAACTCCTGTGCAAAGTCATTCAGATGCTTAACAGAATGTCAGTGAATTGCAGTGTATTTTGAGGTCAGAAGATTAATATTTAAGAAAATATCTGTTGCAATCTTGCTTCCTTTTTAAAGACAGAGGTTGTTTTAATATTTGGGGTTTTCGTTATTGCATTTTTTTTCTTGTTGCAGATTTTCATTTATATGATATTTTTATATGATATGTATGATCCTGCAGATCTTTTATTTTCAGTAGCTGCCCTAAACAAAGTCTTGTACCTAATCTCAGTATATTTAGACTTAACAATTACAAGACACACATGATTTATTTCAGGTGCACCAAGAGTTTCCCAGTGCAAATTTCGATTACCATTGCGGTTAGTTTGCTCTCCAGCTCATCCTTCAAAGACAGCAAGCCAGAAGTTAACTATTGATACCAACAAGCCTCCAGTCAGCCTTGTTACCCTTTTCCCAGGTAGAGCTTCAGTTAAGGATGCACCTCTGACATGATTGATTTACCTAGAATGCTTGAATAATGAGCCATTTATTATCTAAAAGCTTAAATGAAAGAAATATTTTGACTGTATCTGGATTGGTTTCTCAATGTAGTTTGTACTGTAAGAATTTTGTCAAAACCCACTTAAATTTTGCTAGCTTTATTATTAAGTTGTTTTACCACATGGAAAGTTTTTATGTGAAATTCTTATCACACGGTCCCCAAATGAAATACATTGATATGTTTTGCTTCTAATATATGCACCATTTAAATAACTATATGCCGGTCAATTTGGTTTGCTGTAGATATGATGTTATCACATGGGAATCCAATCCATTGTATAGAGTTTATGGTCTGGGTTAGATGCAATTTATATAACAACGGATAGTTGTAAAACCAGCATGAATGTTTGTATCTGATAGATAAAGGGGCTTTGTGGTCCAGTGACATAATGTATAAGAAACAATGCATTGGCACATTCTCGCCCAAAATTATTTGCAATATGAAGTCTATTGTAAACCTGAAATCTAAGTAGATTTATGGGTGCAGTGTTAACGGTATGGACAAATTGTGTAAATTATACATTTCATTTTATTTCAGACTTTGCTGATCAGGCTGATGAAGACCAGCTAAATGCTTTAGGATTTCAGTTATTAGGTGGCTCCCGAGTCACATTACTTGCTTCAAAAACATCGCGTAAGTATCTTGTTGAACTGAAGTTATGGATGAGATCTTCACATGATAGAGTTGGTGCAATATTTTTGTCCACAGTGTGACAGGGGTGGGTGTCAACAGTAAATCACATGGAATAAGCAAAGTTAACTCTTTGTTAGAAGATAAAAGGTCTGCTCACAAGTGCCAGGCCTAATGAGCACAGCAACTCTTGTTCCTATGAGGCAGTTGTGGAGACTAAAGGTCCCCACCTTCCCACAGTTGCATAGGTCTCTCCCCCCCGGGTCTTCCCCAAGCAATTGGACTCCACTGGCATGCTTGTCTTTGCTCCTCCCTCTTCATACATCTTTTGGTTCTGGAGGACCAGGAGGAGGGGAGCTTGTCGCAGCATTAGGGAGAGACACCCTGTTTTCTTCACCAGCCTGACTCATCTCTGCCTCTTGGCCTCCCTCCTCTTTTGCTTCAACTTCTGATTCTGATTCAGGACTTCTTTCTGCCACAGATGGTCCCTGTTCACTAAATCCTGTTCAGCTTTTCAGTTATTGGCTTCTGAGGATGTTGGCAAGAAGCTTGGTTCAGCTTGTGTGCTAGGCTTGTATGCTAGGCTTTTGTCCTTCATGGCTTGTTAAATCTAGTAGGGAAGCAATATCCAGGAGCTTGTAATTGTGTCATTGAGAAATTGGTTACAGCTTTTTTTAAAAAAAAGAAGCCATAATTCAACAATCCTGAAGAAGCATTATTATTAATCAATGGGATTTGGCCACTTTCATGACTGAATCCCGACTATTTTGTTCCTCCTTCTCTTTCCCTTCTCTCATTCCTGCCTTCGTTGTTGTTGTTGAATTTATATGCCACTATTCCTCCATTTGGTGGGGCTCAAAGCAGTCAACAGAAAATAAAAAAGCAAAACTAAAACAAAACATACAAATTAACAAGTCATTACCGGTACCTCGACGATGGTGAGCTCCCGTTGCCCAGTCCCTGCTCCTGCCAACCTAGCAGTTCGAAAGCACATAAAAGTGCAAGTAGATAAATAGGTACCGCTCCGGCGGGAAGGTAAATGGCGTTTCTGTGCGCTGCTCTGATTCGCCAGAAGCGGCTTAGTCATGCTGGCCACATGACCCGGAAGCTGTACGCCGGCTCCCTCAGCCAATAAAGCGAGATGAGCGTGCAACCCCAGAGTCAGTCATGACTGGACCTAATGGTCAGGGGTCCCTTTACCTTTACCTTACCGGTAATAAAACTGTGGAACATCCATAATAAAACAAGAACCAGAAACCTTACTTGATTGTCTGTTTCAAAATATGAAAAATATGCTTTTGAAAGACAATACATTTAAAATCATTGTGGTGTACTGTTAACTAGTAATTGAAACTAGGGTTTGAAGTTTGTTTTAAATCTGTGGTCTATGTAAACCAGTTTAAAGTGTGCAGATTGAGTCCTCAGGAGCAGCTGGTGCCGCGGGATGGTGCCATGTTGCTGCCGTCCTGACAGTGGCCTCTTTGCTACTTACTGGGATGGTGTCAGGACTGTGTGGGTGCACCAGTGGAACCAATCCAGTAGTCCTGAGCCTCGGGCCTTTCAGCTTGTTGTTTAGATTCTAGAATGCTGTGAAGAATTATCTAAGTTTGGTGGCATGAGCTTTCCTCTATTCGCACGGATGTCAAGAATTCTTAAGCTGTAAAAGACCTTAATATCTTTCACCATAAATCCTGTGATGGGAAACATCTGGACAAGTAGTTATTCAGTGACTCTCATGGTATCAATTAGTTTACTTTTTGCAGGCTTCATTTTTGTTTGTGTTTGGTTGTGTGAACATTCTTTGAGTGTTGTATGATAATTTTTAATATTTGTTTGACAGTAAAAAAATTTAAACAGTTGAAGTAACTGGAACATTCCATAACAAAGATCTGAGAAGACTTGTAATTTTTTTTGTAAATAGTTTTACGTGTAAGCTAAAATTAGAATTGGTTATTTGGATTCTTGTTTTACAGAATTGGTAGCTTAAATGATATACATTTGCAAACAAGATCTCAGCTGATGGGAATAAGTGTTCATTTATTAATGAAAGGAAAAGAAGCTTTAAGTATCCCACCAGAGGCATTGGCTAGCTGAAGTGTATTGTAACCTTTTAGCTTGAACAGGGAGCTTTATCTTCCCATCTTTTCTCCCACTAATAATTTTCTTTTCCATTTGGGTTTGTTTATTTATAGACCTGGCTTGATGCTTGCTATCTCAGTATAAGCTTTCCCACAGTACAGATGCTTGAAGCAAACCCTAGTGTTTGATCCAATAGTGTCTAGAAACTGCTGCACCATAAAACCTTTAATCTTACCCGTGTACCCATGCTTCTACTTTACTCTTTTACCAGCTGGGATTCTGTAAAGATTACTGTTGGGAGAATAATTTACATTTGACACTAAGTTCATAGTATTGTAGAATTGGAAGGTACCTTGAGATTGATCTAGTCCAACTCCCAAACCAGAAAGCAAGTCTCATATTGAATGTAAATTTCCACGAGCAGATGGATAAAACTCAGTTATAAATTACAACTGTTTCAGAAATAATTATATCCCATGCGCATTAGGGCTTTTATGTGGCTTTTGGGTGAGAGATTGATTCCTACGCTCACAAGGAGCTTAACCGTGTCAGAGATCCCAGGAGCTGACAACTTTTTGGTTTCTTGACACAGGAATAACTGTTTACTAAAATTCTTGAAAAATATGCCCCTTCATCCAACTTTCAATAAGTATTTCATTGCTGAGAATGATAATTTATGGGTGCTTGTGGTATTCATACTATCCCATAGCTTCTTAAAAACAATTATCTGCGCTCAGTATTGAACATGGTTTGAGCTTATGCAAACATGACTTAGAATGCTTGAACAGCTAGTGTGCCATCTGTCCTTCTGTATAAAATTTAATATTTAATATTTTGAGGGAAAGCTGCTTTCCTCAAACATACCTGTTTTCATAATCTTAGAATGTAGGCATGTAAGTAACAGTTACTCTTTTGCTGTTTTCAGCAGAATTGTACAACTAAAGAACTCTATTTCAATTATATGCTATAGATTTTTTCAGAGTTTTCTTTCTCTTTGTAATAGATCAAATAAGCCATTAGTTTTATCCTACCATTCCACTTCAGTGGAGTTGTCTGCTGTATTTTCCTGCTGGTCAATACAATTTTAAAACCGCTGATGACCTCTTTTTTTTGCCTAAATTTGACTCAGGGATTAATTTTAGATGAGGGAAGTTTTGTTCAAAATGTCTGGTCATTATTCCTAGATATATTTCTAGCATAATGAAAATAAGATGGTATGTTATCATTAACAAATGGTTTTCGGCTTTTAAAAGGACATGCTTTTATATGAAACCTGCCTATTTTCCTTGTATACTGTAAATATAATTTGTCATTGTCCCATCTATGAAATGCATTTTCTGGGAACTGTGCCAGTAGAAATGTTATACAATCTTGGATAACTAATCTTATGAATTGCTTAATAAGTAAAGTTTTAAGCCTCATCTTTTTCAAAAATAAAAAACTTGGCCAAACTTCTAAAAAGTAGAACATTTTTAGTTTTTTTTAAATATCCCCATCTCATTTCCGCCCTTCCTCTTATTTTTCCTCACAACTGTTCTCTTACATATTTTGAAAAGATTACTATAAACATAGCATTTTCAGAATTAGCTTGAAACTACAGTACTATTGCTGTATACCTAGCCATTTCATTGGCCCATTTTTATTAAGGAATGATATGCGTGAAGCCTGCATCAACCACAAAACTTTTAATTTGCATGATATAAGATGCAGAATGCCACTCCTTGGTAGCTATGATGTTTTGCTCTTTAAGATGGATATGCACTTCAGAGTCCTTTCTCTATTAAGATCCCTTGTAGTCAAATGAGATTAGAATTTTACCTGGTCATAGAAAATTGCAGGGCATATTATTTTGATAGCTGAGATATGGAAAGACCTAATAAATGTTAGGTTTTAAAATCCTACCCAGAAATCTTCTTTGAGATCATCTTATGATTCTGAATGTGAGAATGCTCAATCCATTTCAGATAAATCATGCTTGTTTCAGAGGTATGGGTCCTTTTAGCTAAATGGAAAAAGAGAGCTGCCATTTTCCAATATGGTAGCATTTTTCCAGGCTGAATTTTTAAAGCGAATTTTCCATATTGTATCCTAGCTATCAACTGAGCATACCCTGAATTGATCAGTTTTTAATTTCAAATGTCCTGGATGTAAAATTTTGCTACTTGTTCTGAACTATTGATGTGTTAGGGTCAATGCAAACAGGTCTCCTAGCTTTTAACCATGATTGAGATTGGGAGAAACCCTTGGACACGCATGCCCCTTCCTCCTGCCTCTTCAAATTTATTGAACCATGAACCATTGGTTAGCATTAACATGAACCATTTTAAGTTGGAAATCAGAGCTTGAAATCCATGTGAATTAACAACTTCCAAAGAACTGTTTTTGTTAGATAACAAATAAACGAATTAATTAAATTTCTATACCACCCTACATCCGAAGATCACAGAGCGGTTTACAATATAAAAATACAACAATGCACACCGTAATAACAAACAAAAACAATACCCCCCTAGTTTAAAAGGCCTCTTTTTTTAATTAGCCAAAGGACTGGGAGGAGAGGAATGTTTTTGCCTGGCGCCTATATCACAGAGAATCTTGTGGCACCTTAAAATTAGGAATTCTTACTGCAATAGGCTTTTGTAGGCTAGTGTTCACTTCATCACATGCATTAACTATTGCCCTCTGTTGACAGATGTGTGAGTATGTGTGAAGTCACCCCTGAACAAAAATGATGGAATGGATTTGATGGGGAAGTACCCCTGGTTCATGAAAAAAACCAATGCTTGTTTACCTGATTCCTGAAAGCATGAAATATTAAAAGAGGTTTCATTCTCTAGCTTGCTACTGGAGAATGTCCCCAGAATCTGGAGCAAGGAAGGAAGGCAGAATTGCAGCAGGCATCTCAGTGTGATTGACAACAGTGAATTCCATAAACCATGTTTGTAATTGTGATAATTGTGACACAGAATTCCCACCACATTGCTGAAAAAGTGTTTAAATATGGTATTTAAATTGATGCTATTGGTGGAAGAGATGGGGAAAGGGGAACTATTAAACATGCAAAGTTATGAACACAGAAATTTTTTTCACAGGTGGAATCCAGAAATTCTATATTCATTAAACTGAGAGCCAGTGTGGTGTAGTGGTTAAGAGCGGTAGTCTGCTAATCTGGGGAACCGGGTTCGCGTCTCCGCTCCTCCACTTGCAGCTGCTGGGTGACCTTGGGCCAGTCATACTTCCTTGAAGTCTCTCAGCCTCACTCACCTCACAGAGTGTTTGTTGTGGGGGAGGAAGGGAAAGGAGAATGTTAGCCGCTTTGAGACTCCTTAAAGGGAGTGAAAGGCGGGATATCAAATCCAAACTCTTCTCTTCTAATAATAATAATAATAATAATAGCAACAATGTAAGTAGAACTGTTATCAAGTATGGCTGTATGTACATGTGCACCTCACCTATATGCTCTGCTCCTATAGTCTTCAGTTTATATACTGTATATATATTTATTCTTGTTTGTCTTTTTCTGTCTTGTGTATAACTAAATTCATTTAAAATAAAAATGGCCCTACATAGTAACTGATAGTGAATCAGCTACTAATTTTTATTTTGCTTTTCATTTTCAAGAGCGCTACAGAATTCAAAGTGAGCAGTTAGAAGACCTTTGGTTAATTGTGAAAGAACTCACTGTTCGTCTTGAAGAACATTTTAGGAAACAAAACTGCAAAGACTTTGCATGTACTTTTTCTGGCCCAATCCCCTTACAAGAATATTTTGAAATAATCGATCATCATTTTGAGGTATGCATATTAATATTTGTGATTTTGTAATGAAATTTGGCTGGTGACTTTTTCAGTTGTTACTTTGAGCTGTTGCAATTGTTTAAATTTGAAGAAGTGCTTTTTACACAGGCTGCATTTTTATAAACCAGTGCATTTATTTCGGGGCTGCAGTCATGGTGTGTAGGCTCATGGTGACCCACCTTCAAGCCCTTAATGGCTTTGTATATGTTTTTATAAAGTGGAATGGAGATTATGTCAGGGCTGTTTGGGCTGTGAAAGTCAGCATCTCATTTCTAATAATCTTTTCCAAACCAATAGTATATTAACATATTCTTCAAAACTCTTAGGCACACTTGGCACAGTCATTATAGACAGGAATATGAGTTGTTTTGATATTGGATTGACATGTGATATACATTAAAAATTGCCCTCCCCTAAAAATAAAAATCTATTCCTAAAACAGTGCTTTAAACATTTTAAAATACTGTGCCTGATTTCTGCCGCAGCTAGTAAAATATCATTGAGCATATGTGCTGCAGATCCAGTGTACTGAAATAATTCATAACCTGCTGATGACGAGATAATTTCACCTCTGTCATGAAAACCCATGGTAAGATTATCATGCATTACAGCAGATTGCCTTCGCTGTCAACAATTATTTTCAATTTTGGTAATACCTGGCATTATTCTAGCCTGTTAGTTGATCTGATGATGAGTGTGAAATTACCGGTCTTCAGACTGACTACCTTACCGTAGAAAAGCACTCTACGAATCACTACAGTAAAACTTCCAGAAATGCGGTTGTTCTCCACCTGTTTGTTATAAATGTGTCATGTGAAAATATTATTGCATTTTGGAATATTTTTAACTTTTTCCTTGCTTAATTGTAGCTGCGCTTGAATGCTGTTAAATATGAGCAACTATTATCTGAAAGAGCCGTACAGTTTAGAGCTATTGAACGACGACTGCTGACACGGTTTAAAGATAAAACCCAAGCTCCTCTGCAACATCTGGACACCTTGTTAGAGGGAACTTACAGACAGGTCAGTATAGTTGGGTTATGAGCCTGACTCTTTAATGTCTCCCCCCACACTAAACACATAGTTTTAAAATACATAAGCGATACCTTCCTGGTTACATTTACCAGCTGAGAGACCATGGAACAGTAATTTGTTTAACCTAATATTCCCTGCAACTTTCCAGATGATCTGCAGTGGTTTTTATTTGATCTTCAGATACTGAATTGCTACTCTGAGCTCTTGCAAACTTTGACAGTGCATCATTCTTTCCGAGCCGAAATAGTTATGTGAAAATATTTTATAGTTCAGAGCTCATGTAAACATTTATGGTATACTGTAAACTGATGGAATGGTTTAACTGATGTAACATCCACAACAAAATAATCTTGAGACGAACAGTCTCCTTTTGCAAATGTATTTACATCCTGGGTCTTTCAAAGGCAATAGCTGAAGTAATTGAAAGCAAATCAACTGATATACTGTTGCGGGATGGAATACAGTTTGAGTTTCTGCCTCAGTAAAGAACATAAGAGTGTTGCCGTATCAGACTAGAGTTTAATCTCATTTCCGGTGGAGGGCAGCTAGGAACTTTTGGGAAATCCAGAAGCAGGGCATGAAAGCATTAGATCTTTTTTGTTGTTACTCCCCAGAAACTGTTACTCATTGCGTGGCGAGTTGCCGCCTCCCCCCAAAGGAAATAAAGACACAGGACACCATGAATTAGGTTAATGGGCGAAATAGGCCACAACTTTATTGGTTACAGGAATGAGCGGTATTGGCTTAGGCATTGGTCCTATCGACTAACCGGCTTCAGCCCAATTGCATGAAGACCGGCAAGGGTTAACCACCAGTAGAGGGAGTCCTGCTGATGCACATCAACCAGGAGCTCCCCCAGGGGTCACCGCTCGGGGGCGTGCCTTAGGCCCACACCTCCATAGGCTTCGGACAGGGCAACGCCCCCTGGAATCCTTTACCGGACTACCCTTCACTGTGGGGGGAGGCGATGGCGCTGCCTCCCCCCATCTACTTAACCCTACCCTTACCAATGCCTAACCGCCAATGCCGAGAAGTTGTGACGAGTTGCTACGAGGTAGGCGAAAAACCAAATGGCTGTAGCCAATTTGCCAAATGGAAAAAAATCCTACCAGGCCCCTTGACAGCGACCAACCAAAGTCCATAGCAATGTCAAAAGAGCCTGCCTAAAGGGAGGGAAGGATAGGAAACCGAATCAGCGGAGCGGCGAAAGAGGGTGAGCCTCAGGTGCACCGGCCCTAAATAGGGCAGGCCATGCCTCCCCAGCCAGCCGATTGGCTGGCTGGGGGCTGACACGGCCGAGGATTCCCTGATCTCGCGTGGGCTGTGATCCCTAGCTCGGAAGTGGCTTTGGCATTCTGCCTCTGAACTTGGAAGTGCATATAACAAATCATGACCAATAAGTATTGATAGACTCCTTCTCTATGAACTTATCTATTGCACCTTTAAAGCCAAATAAACTGGTAGCTATCACCATTTGTGTGGTAGCAAACTCATGTTTAAAAAAAGTTATTTATTTATTAGAAGGTTTATAAGCTGCTTAATCAGGAGCTTTCTAAGCAATGCACAAATAAAATTGTAAATAAAACACAGCTGAAATCTACAGAGCAATTTTAAAAAACAAACATACAAACAGCCACCACAATTAAAACATAAATCAGCCAAACTCTAAAAAACAAATATAAATAACTAAGTTACATCAATGTGTAGGCTTGCTGAAACAAGTTTTTGGCGGGATCTAAAACAGTATAGCCTGGGTGTCTGCCTAATGTTAATAGGTAGGGAATTCCAAAACACTCGTGCTACTAATGTGGAATGAACATTATGTGGCACTTGTAAAGGTTTCACGTTCCAAATACTGAGATGGCTAAATAGAGCTTTATATATCAATAGCAAGCGCCTTATCCACATTGTCAGGCTGCATAAACTTAAAGTGATCCCACAGCACATTGCAGTGTTTAGGTTAAACAATATTAGGTTAAACAAGAAGTATGTTTATCTGTCCTGAATCTCACTGGAAGCTCCCACATTGTAGTACTGTGAGGAAATCTTTGTATCTCCTTACTCCACACCATACATAATTGTATAGACCTCTACCATGTCATCCTTGTTCCATTTTTCTAAAATAAAATCCCTCCAAATAGTATTTCCTTGGATTAGAGTTCCTCCAGTCCCATGATAACATTAATTGCTCCTTCCATTCAGCATGCAACACAGAACTGCAGGGAGCTTCCCAGGGAGGAATAGGTCACTCTGTTCTTCCATGGGTAGCTTGCTTCACTTCCATGTTTTGGTATATGAAAGGAGCTCCCTTTTTTCCACAGCACAGGAACATTTTGAGCTTGTCATGGAATAAGAGAGTGATCACTTCCTTCATGTGCAGCTCAGCAGTGGGACTCAGTCCAATTCCCTTCTTGCTGCTGATCTGATCTGTAATCTCCGATCAGCTGAGCTGGGGGCAGGGTAGGAAGATTGCACACTGTTGTAATGTGATCTTGCAGTTTGATAAAATAATTGTCAGTAAGCTTAAATCAGTACTTAATTCTGTATTTGGATTTCTATGGGAATAGGGAAGTAAGAAAGTTCAGGTGATTGTATTCTTTCTCCAGATGTCCATCTCCATAAAAATGTTAGGTTATGTTGAGTTTTCTTTTAATGTTAAGGACATTTCTTTTTATGAAGAGTAAAACTGGCATTCAGTTAATAAGATGTATCTACTGGTTTTTTGTTTTTTTTAATGAAATGCAAAGTTTCATGTTGTCTAGGTTCTTAATATTGGGAATGTTCCAGGCCCCCCCCATACAGCCTTGAGCACAATGTATTTTTTTATTTTCATTACCTTTAGGGAGTTATAATCAAATTGCAACTTCTTTCTTCCAGTCTTAAGTGCCTCAGGTATTTATAAATCCATATATCTTCAGTTATCAAACTTGCTTAATAACTGGAGCAATGGCTTTTCTCAAATAATAATTCACTTGGAAGTTCTAGCTTGCAGAAATGACTTCACTTAGTTCCATTTCAGAAATATATTCAAGCAATAGCATTTGCATCCGTAAGTAGGATAGATCATCCTGTTTCCTTTTATAGGAAGCCAAGGATGTAGCTGAGCTGTATCATATTTATCAGCTTTAGAGGCTTGTCCTAGAAAGGAAATTGGAACAGTGTGCCAACTTGATTGGTTTACTTTCACAAAAGGGCCTTGTATTGGCAATGCAGATGTCTTGGGGAAAAAAATATATCATTGGCATTGTAAAGCACTTAATGTAGCCTGTGTTCCTTTAGACACCTCAAAACACTAAGTTTGTAATGCAGTTCTTCCCTTTTAAAATCAGAGAACTGTGGAACATAATTTCCTTTGCATATTTTTGCCTATATACAAGGAATGAATACATTTCTTAAAATAATTATCCTGTTTTGATATATGGCACAGACATGAAGATAGTGTCATTTATTTGTATTTGTACTTTCTTACGTTAATTTCCTGCATTTCCCCCCATAATGAAACCCATAGCAAAAGTATTTCTCATTTTTGAAAGAGATGAGGGAAGTATTGGTCTGTGAAGACCAGATACTGTAGAGGATGTTTTATTGAGCAACGAGATACCTGCATAAAAAACAGGCAAAAACCTTGGTTGAAAACCTTCTGTGAATGGTAAAGCTCCACTGAGATCCAGTGGAAGCTTCTGATGGAATAAGGGTGTGGTGGGTTTTCACCAACTGCCTTCTTCTCCCTGTGCTCCCTCCAGAACAGTGTGGAAGATGGTCTTAGGGTCTGCAAGGAGGAAAAATGAGCAAAAATCACCTCCTCCCCCTCCAACCTGTAGAATAATCCTTTGGGTAGCATTCGACACAAAGGAAGTGAAATAGATTAATAATCATTTATGCTGCAATCCTACCCAAATTTATCTGGGAATACATCCTATTGAACTCAATGGACTAACTTTAGAGTAGCTGTTTTATAGGATTGTGTTATTAGTAATTCCAATTGCTGCATTTAAAAAATGCGTTTTCCTTCCTGACATCTAGTTCTCCTTCAAAAACTACTGTTGCTTTATTCTTTCATAAGAGCCATTGTTATTTCCCATTGTATTGCTTAAAGGTAAAGGGACCCCTGACCATTAGATCCAGTTGTGACGCACTCTGGGGTTGCAGCACTTATCTCGCTTTATTGGCCAAGGGAGCCGATGTACAGCTTCCGGGTCATGGGGCCAGCATGACTAAGCCGCTTCTGGCGAACCAGAGCAGGGCACGGAAATGCCGTTTACCTTCCCGCTGGAGCGGTACCTATTTATCTACTTGCACTTTTGACGTTCTTTCGAACTGCTAGGTTGGCAGGAGCAGGGACCGAGCAACGGGAGCTCACCCCGTTGCCAGGATTCAAACCGCCAACCTTCTGATCACCAAGTCCTAGGCTCTGTGGTTTAACCCACAGCGCCACCCGCGTCCCAATGTATTGCTTAGGACCCATAGAAACATGAGACTAGTTTCCTGACACCAAGCCAGGGGAGGGGGGCGCTGTAAACTTTTCACAGAACCAGCAGTTCCCTCCTTCCCTGTATGGCAAATTGCCTCTGACACAAATTCTTGGGCCGAGCATATGGCCAGAACACCTTGTTCTTTAATTTAATTTAAAGAACACCTTGTTCTTTAATTCTTAAGAGTACATCGACTCAGGTGAGCTACCTTTTTGCACCTGTTTTTCAGTGATGTAGTAAAAAGCAAAGTAGTTCCAGCAAGCCTAAAACCTTAAGAAACACAATTCCAAAGTAATGTTGGGTCTGTAGTTCTCTGTATTATGACCAATATGTGTCTGTTCTAGAATAGCATACTTGCAACTATTCTACGGGGTGTAAATACAGTTAAACTAATATTGACAATAAGTACATGTAATTAGAGATTTGAATTTTTAAAATTGAACTTTGGTTTTAATATTGTATTCTGTGCGGGAAAATAAACGTAATAGGATCAAATTTTCTTTGGGAGTAAAATAA